GCAAACTCTCACATGCTTTATACACAATGGTATAGTATTTACCTATAATCCATACACATCCTCCTGCATACTCTAAACCATCTCTGGATTACTTACAATATCTAATACAATGTTAATGCTATGTAAATAATTGTTATACTGAATTGTTCAGAAAATAACAAGAACAAAGTCTATAAATATGCTATTTTTTTCAAATATTTGCAATGCACAGTTGGTTGAATGCAGGGCTATGGAACCCAAAGACATGGACGGTCAACTGAGTGTCCTTTTAAGCTGCTAACTTATGTAGCAATTTGTTAGAGGCAACAGGAAACTAATATGTCATCCCTGCATTCAGTTARTTCATGGTCTCATGGGAAAAGAGTATCTATCTAAAGGTTTTGTTTAAAACAGATGGGTTTTTAAATCCAATGGTTATAAACTTTAAAAAATTAAATTTAAGAAAATGAAATCTGAAAACAAAAGTTTGTCTTCAGTCCTCCCCTTAGCAATTCTTGGCTTCCATAATACTCCAATATCAATCTTATAATCAAACATAACTCTAAGTCTTTTTATATGAACTGTTAAAGACCAGCAAAAAGGAGTTAATTTGATAAGTCCTTCATTCAACAAAACTACTGATCAGATATTGTATTTTCCCTCTGAAAATTCTCAACCTATTTTAAACTTTTTAAATCACCAAGAATCATATCCACCACAGTTTATAAACTCCAGATTAGGGGCATCTGAATGAATATAAGCTTTTTTCACAATATAATATTTTGAGTAAATTTTTTGTTAAAATATACGGGGGGGGGAGGCTTTTAAGCAGTAGACTCACCCTAGTTATTACCACTGAGATTGAAAACCTGAATGCCTTAGAAGCCCCTTCTGTGCTTTCCCACTCACCAACTCCATCAAAAGGGACCACAAGAGGCAGGATAGCAAGTTCAAGGTGAACCCCCACAACTTTGGGAGACCCTGTCTCAAAATAAAAAAGGACTGGAGGTGAATGGAGCTCAGTGGTAAAGTGCCCCTAGTTTCAATCCCTAATTCAGGGGAAAAAAAAAAAAAGGAGGTAAGAAGGAAGGACCACTAGCCTGAGTTCGGCCACYATAGTTTGTTTTGCTTGCTTTTGAACTTCCTATGAATGAAATCACATAGCACTTATCCTGGTGTATATTCTTTCTACCCACCTTCTGTTCTGAGACTCTTCCAAATTGTTGTATGAGGCAATAATTTGTCTACCCTCATTACTGTAGAGTATTCCATTGTATAAACAATGTCTTTTATGCATTTATCCATTCTACTATTGAAGAACATGTGAGTTTTTTCCAGTTGGGGCCTACTGTGATAAYATTGCTCAAGTTATTCTTTTACCTGTCTTTTGGTTTACATATGTATACCTTATTTTTGAGTGTCTAATAATGGAACAGCTGGATCATAGGAGATGTACATATCCCACTTCAGTAAATGATACTGCAAAACAAATTTCCAAGCCCTTATGCTACCTTTCATACCCATGAATTAGAATTCCAGTTTCTCCACATTCTAATCAGTGCTTAGCATTGACAGTCTTTAATTTTAGCCATTCTGGTGAACATATAATGGGATCCCATTGTAGTTTTAATTTGCATTTCCCTAATTCCTAGTGAAACTTGTTCATCTTTTCATTTTTATTAGAAATTTGGAGATCCTCTTTTATGGGGTGACATTTGCCCATTTTTCTACAGAACTATCCATTTTTTTCTCCTTTATTTATAAATCTTTCCACAATCTAGCTATGAGTTCTTGATTTTGAAATATGTATTACAAATACCTTTACCCATTCTGTAGCTTGTCTTCTCTTTATGGAGTTGTTAGATGAATGGAAGTTCTTACTAATATTTTCCTTTAACTATTTGTATTTTGTGTGTCCTAGGACATAAGGATATTTTACTTAGCTTTCTTCCAGAAACCTATTGTTTTAGCTTTCACATTTCAGTGCATGATGGCTCTTGACTGATTTTTGTATATGAGATAAGGAAGATGATCAAGAATAATATTATCCATATGAATTTCCACTTGACTCAGCATCATTTACTGAAAAGGCCATTTTCTCTCCACTACAGGGTCATCTCTGTCATGAATCAAAAAATCACATATATGTAAACCTATTTGTGGATTCTCTATTCAGTCCCTATGGCCTGTCTGGCCTTGTACCAACACACATTGAAATAACTACATATTGATCTTGCAGCTTAAGTTCTCTAATTTTGCTCTTCTTAGATTGTGTACAATTTCCAAATAAATTTGAGAATCAGTTTATCAACTTTTTTGAAAAATATTAATCTCTTGGGATTTTGATTGGCATTGCACAGAATCTCTAGATTTGTTTATTGAGTGATGACACACTCTCCATTATTTTCAGTCTTCTTTAATTTTCCTCAGTGTTTTAGCTCGCAAAGAATTTTTTTTAATCATGAATGGGTATTGTTTTTTATCAAACTTTTTCCTCCTTTATTCTGTGTATGGAGCTAATCACATTTATTGGTTTTCAAATGTTAGACAGTCTACATTTCTGGAATAAATCCAAGTTGTTCATGATTTATTGTTCTTTTTATAGGTTGCTAGATTTGATTTACCAATACATTGTTTTAAGGCTTCTGCATCCTTTTTTATGAGCACTTGGCCTATAATTTTCTTGTAACTTCCTTATCAAGCCTTAGTCACAAGCTTATGCTGGCCTCATAAAAGCAACCAGGGAGCGGTTCCTCTTTTATTATTTTAAATGTTTGAAGAATTTCATGAGTGAAGCCATCTGGATTTGGAAATTTTGCTATGGAAGGTTTTTATCTACGATCAATTTCTTTAATAGATATAGGCCTATTCAAATTTTCTAGTTCTCATAWCTTTTTATTTGAAAAACTTGTCCATTTCATCTGAATTTTAAAATGTTTTAGCATAAAATGTTCATAGTAACATCTTCAGATCTTTTTATGTGTGGAATATATAATGATTAATTCCTTCTTTCATGACCCTAGTAATACCATATACCACTAAAGATCATTTACACACACAAAAGGAGGAGGGGGGCTGGTATATGTCGCATATCTACTATTCTCAGGTATATTACCCAAGAAGCCATGAGCTCATACTTTTTTTTCTCACACATCTTTGTTTTCATAAATCTCTAATTTAAAGTCACTATTTCATTGGATTATAAGTGTGGACAACAAATCACAATAAGAGAAGTTCTAGTGATTGAGTCATCAATAAAAAATCATAGATATGTTCATACTACAGTCCAACTGTTGCAAACACTGCAAAATATCATTGACATGAACATCACCAGTTTGAAAGTATGAGACTCCATTGCTTCAGCACTGAATTTTGTTACATAATGCATTAATGAAGATGCACATAAATTTGATGAGGTTTAATACTATTTTGATAATTTTGTTTGAGTATCATTTATAATCCTATGACTTTTCTATAAGTTTTTTGCAGTAGCAGAAATTGAACCTAGGGCTTCACACTCTGAACTATATTTCCAGAACTTTTTATTTTGAGACAGAGTCTCCCCAAGTTACCCAGGCTGGCCTTGAACTTGCAATCCTCCTACCTCAGCCTCCAGGTATGCACTACCATGCCCAGCTACCGAATGTATTTTTTTTTTTCATGCCTTTTAAAACACTGACTTCCCAGACTCCAAAGAAGTCCATGGTCAAAAGGAAAAAAAAAAAAAAGAAAGAAAGAAAGAAATTTAAGAACTACCTACAAGGAACCCAGGAAGTTCAAAGCAACATTTAAGGAGTCCTTCCCCTTGGGCCAAGCCCACACTAACCAGTTCCTTATGTTACCTACAGWGTTCCCCACCAACATCTGGACACCCACAAAAATGACTGCTTCATTCAGGTTCTTGGCTGTCATCTATCCAAACTTCTCAAGAAGGGAGCAAATAGTAGATAAAGCACAGGCTTTGATCCAAYGGAGGAGCCCCAAACCCAGTCTAAAACATACTACTCTGTGGTGTTCACATTCCCTCCAAGCCCTGTGAAAAGGATAAGCTACCCATCTTTCCCAGTTACCATAAGATTTAGACATAATTATCTAAAGCACATGCCAAGCACCATCCCCCTTAATTTGACATTAATTGCATCTCTCAGGGCAGAACTGTCCTTATGCAACACTTAATCACATTAGGGACTGCCAGTGAGAAAGAAGGAAGAAAAATCACGGGGAAGGTGGAACATAGAGAATGTGGGGGTCATTCTTTAAAATCCAGTATAAAAATCACCACCTCACTGAAGCCCTCCTTCTCCTGTTGGGTGTTCCTATGACATTTAATCACACTCTGGTGAGTGCTTAGCTACAAGAAAGGAAGGATAAGAAATACAAAACAGAAAGGTGCAGAAACAATGACTCTCCCCTCACATAAGGCAAACCACTGAACATGCCAACCCCCAGCCAGGCAGCACTGATCCAAGTGCAAGGAACACGGAAAGCATCAATTGTTCTTAACACCAATGCCACTCCTACCTAGTACCTTGGGTAACAAGAGCATGTGGGGAACTTTCTTATAAAGACTGGTGCCACCTGAATGCTAGACTCAGAACAGAAGAGAGAAACTGAGTCCAAAGATCAGAAAGCAAAAGACATTCCTAACGTTGGGGTTCCTAGATTTGCAGCAGGCAGGCGCACCCCTAATACTGCCAAGAGAACCAGGGTTCTGCAATTTCACGCAACAGTGCCTGAAATCGCGGAGAGAGGACGCGGGCAGGGGTGTGCACAGACTTAGTACGCAAGCCAGGTTCCAGGCTCCCGGATCCCGCCTTTGCCAGGCGCGCAGTCCCCGCCGCCTTTGTCTCCTCCGCGGCACCGGGAACTTCCTCTGTCCCGCCCTCCGGCGCGCACACGGGAACYGGGTTAGGATAAGAAAAGCGTCTTGTTCGTTTCGTTTTTTCAACAGAGCAAACCAAAGCAAAAAAAAGTCAGCACCCTAACCTCCCCAGGACTCCCTACGGTCACCAGCTACCAACCTCCGGGGCTGTCCCGGGCGGCGGCGACCGCGACGTTCACGCGCGCCACGAGTTCCCAACACCCCTCTCTCGGCACTTCCGAGTGCCTGCACCAGCCAGCTTCCCCGAACACCGCCCTCTTTCCCAGGGAGCGTCTTTCCCGKCGCGCGTCCTCGGAGCACGCCCCCGCCGCGGTGCCCGCGCGCCCTCSGCTCCAAGCGGCGGCTCACGGGAATCCGGGCGCTCCAGGGGCGATGGCTAGGAGGCCGCGCTGCTGGAAGGGGACCCGCAAGAGGGCGGCCTGCCTCTCCGTAGCAGATCGGGCCAGCTCTGTCTTGCCAAGGCCCGGGTTCCTGCGCTGAGCAGAGCACCCAGATCTCTCCCCCTCACGCGTGTTCTTTGCAGGTCTGGGGCTAGCTTCGGGTCAATTGCAGGGCGGAAGTCACCTGAAACCCGAAGTGGACAGTAAATCCAACACCAGTGGTCCCCATGTACGTTTCGTAGGCGAAAGGAGGTAGCTTGGTGGGGTGGTGGAAAGAGGGAGGGCTCTGCAGCCCTGGCAGCTTCACAAGCTTTGCCCTGTGAACTTAGCCCCTGTGAGCCTCTCTGTCATTTGTTTAAAAAAAAAAAAAAATTAAGAGTGAAGATCAAATGGGAACAACTTTATGAATTGTAAAGCAACTTGCAGAGAGCACTACTGCAAACAGATTTTGAATGAACTGTGAAGAGTGGACGATCTGAAGATGGCTCAAAGGATGTAATTAGGACGGTGACTACGTTGAGTGTTGATGCTCAGAGGCCTCCAGTGCAGATCTGAGGAACAAAACTGCCTGACTTCTGCAGATTTATAGGAGCAGAATCACCTGGGCTCTCATTAAGACCTGTTTCTGGTTTCTCCCAATAAGGAATCAGAGTTCCCAGGTGTTTTTCTATGGTGAGATAGGAATGGATAACTCTGCCTGGGGCAACAGGAAAACAAAGGTTGTGTTGTAAGAAGCTTAAACTATCAGTCATTATGAAGGTCCAGGGATTGTTTTTCTGATTGCAGAATTCTCCTGAAATCCAGAATTTTAAGTCAGAATTGGAACTATCTTGTATGTCACCCTCCTGGGCCCCCAACGCCCAGTTCAAAGGACAATGTTCATCTGACAGGTGCTAGTAAACGAGCCCCAGTGAGAGACAGGTGTARCCAATAAAGAGACAGGCTACCCAGCTGAAACTGAATTTCAGATATACAACGAATAAATTTTACTATCAGTATGGACCATGCAATATTTGTGACATATGCTTGTGCTAAAAAAAGGAAATCTTCTGTCTTTTATCTTAAGTTAAAATTTAACGGGCATCCTGCTATCTGGAAATCAAATTCAACTGTTTTTTTTTTCTTTATTTACATTTTTTGTTCTAATTAGTTATACATGACAGAACGCATTTTTGACACAATCATCCATAAATGGAATATAACTTCTCATTCTTCTGGTTGTACATGATGTAGAATCACACTGGTCGAGTAATTATATATGTACTTAGTTCACTGGGTTCTTATCTGTCAACTCTAGATCCCAGGATTTAGCAGGGGCGTGGCAAGGTACGAGCTCAGGGCGTGGCCAACTCAGGGAGAGAGATAACAGCTCCTGTTAATTCTAAGTGATGCTATTGGATATTAATGTTGGTTTGTCTTCATTTATTTCTTTTTTATTGTCATTATATATTCTAATTTGTTATACACGATGGGAGAATGCAATTCACTTCATATTGCTTATGTAGAGCACAGTTTTTCAAGTCACTGATTGTACATAAAGTATTTTCACACCATTCKTGTCTTCATACATATACTTAGGGTAACATATTCCCTCCATTCATTCCACCGTCAATCCTACACGCTTGCCCCCTCCCTTCCCCTTCCTCCCCTAGGCCCTATCTAAATTTCCGTTGTCATTTACTTCTAATGACAGAATGGGGAAAGCATTTGCACTAAAAAAGGAGGGAAGGAAAATTAGGAAACAAATATTTCGCAAAACCCTTGAAGAAATGCATAGTAAAATATGAACACTGTTTTTCATATATAAAGTTGACCAAAAAAAATAAATGAGGGGAGTGGGTTGTAGCTCAGTGGTAGCACACTTGCCTAGCATATGTGAGGCACTGAGTTCTATTCTCAGCACCATATACAAATAAATTAAATAAAGGCCCATCAACAACTAAAAAAAAATTAAAAGTAATAAATAAATGAGGGCTGGGGTTGTGATTCCAAGGTAGAGCGCTCTCCTGGCATGCGTGAGGCACTGGGTTCGGTTCTCAGCACCACATGAAAGTAAAATAAAGATATTGTATCCACCTATAACTAAAATAAATATTTTAAAAATGACATTAAAGTTTAGTAAGGGTGATTATGGTAGCAGTCACCACACAACTCTTAGGTACACAAGCAATTTGACACTATCAAAACACTTAAAATATATGAAAATCCTCAAAAACATTCAAACCTTTTTGACTATTAATTTTATTTATGAGAATAAGTCCAAAGGAAATAATCCATAATGTAGAAAATATTTTTTTCAGTTTAATTGAAGTCTAATTGACAAGTGCATATATTCAAGGTATACAACTGGATATTTTGGTATATGCATACCTTGTTAAATGATGAAAATAATCAACCTAATTAGCCTCCATCACCTTGTTTAATTAACTCTGTATGTGCATGTGTGTGTGTGTGTGTGTGTGTGTGTGTGTGTGTGTGTAGAATATCTGATGTTGAGAGTCACAGTTTAGTCGTCTGGCATTTTTGCCAGAGGGAATGGTTGAAAGGTGACCCTGCTCCTGGATTAGGGTGGATCCTGCTGCCTCTGCCCCCCCTCCCCCACTTTGGAGTTCCCGTTGAGTTCTCGAAGSGTTCTGAGAGAATTGGCCTKCGGAGCCCGGTGGAGGCAGTGTGTTTCCRGGAAGTGTGTGTAAAGTGCCAGTGAGAGTTCGGGAATAAAGGTTGCTGTTTGAACCTACAAGGCTGTGTGGTGGCTTGGTTATTTTGTGCCCAGCCAGACTKCGGCAACCTGAGACCTGTTCTCAGTAAATTTCAAGTTTACCATATATTATCAAGTATAGTCACTATGATGKGCAGAACTTATTTATCTTATAAATACAAGTTTGTACCCTTATGGCCAATGGCCAATATGTTCCCATTTCCCCCACCCCCTCACCCTGGTAACCACTGTTTTATTCTCTTTCTGTGAATTCAACTTTATCAGATTACACATTTAAATGAGATCATGCAGTATTTGTGTTTGACTTATTTCACTTAGCATAATGTACTCCAGGTTTGTCCATGTTGTCACAAAATGGTAGGATATTCTTTTTAAGGCTGAGTAATATTCCATTGTATTTATATATCACAGTTTCTTTATCCACTTTTCTGTTGTTAGATACTTGCATTGCTTCCATATTATTGTGAATAAAGCTAGAAAATTATCTTTATCAGCAAGTATTCTAAATTTCATGAACATATTCAACTAYGACTTGTCAATCAAAAGAACAATTACAAAATTATATAACTATGGTACTGGGAATTGAATCCAGGGCACTTTACTCCTGAGCTACACCCCCAGCCCATTTTTATTTGGGGACAGGACCTCACCAAGGTGCTGAGACTGGCACCTTGCAGTCCTCCTACCTCAGGCTCCTGAATCACTGGGATAACAGACATGTCTTATCACACCTGGCTAAGAAAAAAAAAATTTACTCTTAATTCATTTCATTTTAATTTATACCATAGTAGGGAAAATGCACCGTATATGCCAAAATTCACCAWGGGGGCCAGGGGCATTTTGGAAACTCCATAATATTATAAAAATAAAGAAGTAGAAATTTAATCAAAATTATATACTCTTCTCTGTGATGTATTACACATGCAACCTTTRAAATAACAGTTACTATTCATATGTAATATGATCATAGCTATGTATGTTTTAAACCTGTGCATGGAAAAATGACTGGATATGACTGGAGAGGAAATAAAGTCGTTTAGATGAGGGTGCTTGCTTTATTCTTAATTTTTGAAAATTTTCATTGAGATAAGTTAGTTTATAATGGAACAAATTTGAATCCAAACAAAATAATTTTATGATCACTGTGTTAGCTTTCTAGAACTGTGACCAAATACCTGTTATATTTCAGATGTGAGGTGTCCCCCAAAAGCTCACATGTGAGACAATGTAAGATGGTAGAGGAGAAATGTTTGAGTTATTAGAGCCTTAACCCAATCGGTGAATTAATCCCTTGGTGGGATTCACTGAGTGGTAACTGAAAGCAGATAGGGCATGGCTGGAGGAGGTGTGGCTTTGAGGTATATAATTTGCATCTGGTGAGTGGAGTCTCTCTCTGCTTCCTGCTCATAAAGCGAACCTCTTCCCTCYGCCACCCACTTCCACCATGATGTTCTGGAGCCCCGAGGAATGGAGCTAGCTATTGACTGAGACCTCTGAAACTGTGAGCCCCCAAGTAAACTTCTCCTCCTCTACAATTGTTCTGGTCAGGTCTTTTAGTCACAGCAAAAAAAAAAAAAAAAAAAAAAAAAAAAAAATGCTAATTAAAACAATACCTGAGATGATCAACTTATAAAGAAGAAAGTTTTCTTTGGCTCATGACTTTAGAGGTCTCAGTCTATGGAGGATGGTTGGCCCCGTTGCTTTTGGGTCTGTAGTAAGACGGCACATGATGGTGGAGAGCACCTGGAGGAGCAAAGCTGTTCATCTCATGGTTGCCAGGAAACAGAAACAGGAAGTGGCCAGGCCCCAATATCCCCTTCAAGGACATGCCCTCCGTGGCCTCATTCCCTCCACTAGACCCCCTTTCCTAAATGTCCCACCACCTCACAATAGCTCCATGGGCTGGAAACCAAGCCTTCAATACATGGGCCTTTGAGGGACGTTCAAGAGCCAAACTATAACAGCCATAAAAGTGAGCGCTTTTATTTTTAATATTTCTTTAGATGTTGATGGACCTTTATTTTATTCATTTATTTATATGCAGTGCTGAGAATCGAACCCAGTGCCTCACACATGCTAGGCAAGCGCTCTACTGCTGAGCCAGAATCCCAGCCCTATGAAGGTGTTTTTATGAACTATAGATCCCAGCTTACATGGTCTTTATTA